ATTCTTAAGGATGTTGACCTAGGGAAAGATTTTATGAAGAAGACTTCAATGGCAATACAATAATAAAAATAAACAACTAGTATTTAATAAAAAGCTCTACACAGGTTAGAACACAACAATTAAAGTAAATAAACTTCCTTTAGAATGAGAAAAGATACTTGTATGTTACAAATCTGACAAAGGGTTGATAACTAGAAACTATAGAGAACTCAAATTAATCAACAAAAAGGAGCAAACAATTCCATCTATCAGTGGGCAAGAGATAGGAACAGAACCTTCTCTGGGGAAGACAGACAAAAGGCTAACAAACATGAAAAAATGCAAATAGTCCCTAATCATCAGAGATATGCAAATCAAAACCACCCTCAGGTACTAGCTAACTCCCGTGAAAATAGCCCACATCACAAAGTTGCAAAGCTGCAGATGCTGGTGTGGATGTGGGGAGAAGGATACACTTTTATACTGTTGATGGGACTGTAAACTAATACAGCCTCTTTGAAAAGAAGTCTAGAGAATCCTCAAAGAACTTAAAATAGATCTTGAATTTGATCCCGTAATCCCATGCTAGGCATCTACCGAGAAGAAAAAAAAAACATTTTATCATAAGGACATTTGGACTAGATAAATTTACAATTGCCAAGACATGGAAACAACCAAAACACCCATCATCCCAGGAGTGGATTAACAAAGTGTGGTATACATATACCGTGGACTACTATTCATACCGGGGACCTTACAGCTTTTGTATTAACCTGGATGGAGTTGCAATATATTCTTTTTAGTAAAGTATCATAAGAATGGAAAAACAAGTATCCAATGTACTCGATACTAATATGAAGACAATACATGATTTAATATATGCCCATATAGGCTCGGCGCCTGTGGCTCAAGCGGCTAAGGCGCCAGCCACATACACCTACGGTGGCAGGTTCGAATCCAGCCCGGGCCCGCCAAACAACAATGATGGCTGCAACCAAAAAAAAAAAAAAAAAAATAGCCGGGCGTTGTGGCAGGCACCTGTGGTCCCAGCCTACTTGGGAGGCTGAGACAGGAGACTCGCTTGAGCCCAGGAGTTGGAGGTTGCTGTGAGCAGTGAAGCCATGGCATTCTACCCAGGGGGACAGCTTGAGGCTCTGTCTCAAAAAAAAAAAAAAAAAAAATATATATATATATATATGCCCATATAAGAGAAAAACTCAATTCAATTCAAGTTTGGGGGAGGGTGATGGAGGAAGGGAGGAAGAAAGAAGGGGAGAGGGGAGAGGGATTGGTATTCTCTTGGGTGCAGGACCTAACTACAATAGGGACTCCACCTAACAAAGGAAACATTATAACCTAATCGTATTCTCACATTAATTTAAAAAAGAACAAAAAAGGAAAAAGTAATATCAAGGGGAAAAGGTGATTAAGGTTAAGTGAAGTCATGGGCCTAATCCAATGTGACCATAAGAAGAAAAAGTTAGGACACAGAGGAACGACCCTGTGACAACAGAAAGATGGTGGCCAAAGAGACAGGCCTGGGACTGATTTTCTCCTGGCCTGCCGGGGCTCAAACTTCTGGCCTCCTGAACTGGGAGACAATGACATTTCTGTTTAACTCACCCAATCTGTGATGTAATGTAGTGGCAGCCCTAGTGAACTAATACAATACCTGTTCTACCTATTAAAAATATACTTGTTTTTCAGTCAGAGTAACAAAGTTTGAAAAGGTAGTTAATCAAAACCTGGAAAAAATTATTTAAAAAATCTCCTGGCACTAACACAGGGTTATAGGGTTATAGCAGGGTTGTGGTATACAAAAGTCAACTGCTTCCCCATACACCAGCAACGAACAAGTGGGACTTGAAATCAAAATCACAATATCAGCTGGGCTTGGTGGCTCAGGCCTGGAATCCCAGCTGTCCAGGAGGGCAAAGCAGGATTGTTTCCAGATAGCCCAGCTAGTGGGCAGCCAAGGACCGGTCAGGTGCAGACACCCCAGCAGCAGTTCTTCACCTGGGTGACTCGTGCGTGGAATCAGCATGCTCTCCTTTATTCGTTATTGCTTTCTTCCCAACAGAGGGAGGCTGGAAAAAGGGCTTCCACTGGCAGGGGCTGGTGTTGTGCACATGTCTCCTTCATGCTGTCCAGGGGCCTGGCTGTCTCCTTGCACAGGACCTTCACTCTCAGGGGGTAGGATCTGACCTGTCTCCTCGCTCAGGACCTTCACCCTCAGAGGGTAGGATCTGAACTGTCTCCTTGCACAGGACCTTCACTCTCAGGGGGTAGGATCTGACCTGTCTCCTTGCACAGGACCTTCACTCTCAGGGGGTAGGATCTGACCTGTCTCCTCGCTCAGGACGTTCACCCTCAGGGGGTAGGATCTGACCTGTCTCCTCGCTCAGGACCTTCACCCTCAGGGGGTAGGATCTGACCTGTCTCCTCGCTCAGGACCTTC